ATATGTAGAAGTCTTTCACCTGAACAATGGTTTTAAGATCTGAGTGGCCAGATCTGGGTATGGAGTGTGGAGATGGCAGAGGAGGACTTGGCCCTGGGCTAATATATTTCTCTCATTCATAGTTCATTATGGAATAGTTTGCAGGAGCTACTACCAGAGCTGACCCAGGAGTAAAAGGATGGTCCTGAGGAATCCACCTAGGAGAGTCAGTGTACAAGCTTTGCATTTGAAACTAAGCCTAGGCTTGAGGAGATGGTGGGCTGGGCTCAGTTATAGGGAGTTCTTCAATGATTGAGGGTACAGGAGCTGCACAACCAGATCTAGGCCAGGAATATGGATACAAGAGGGGATGGATCATTTTTTTATAACTGCATTTTGTTGTCTCTTTTAGTTCTAGAAACTCACATTTTATCCAAGTATTTGTATTTCCCCCTTTAACTCAATTGGCATGTATTCAAATGGCATTTTTGCAGACATCCAGCTTGATTTGCCTCTTCTGACTGCTGGCATTTGTAAGGATCTAGAGGGAATGAAAGAGATTAGAATGCTCTTTTAAATAACTGTGTCCATGTGAGGCTTACTATCTAGTTAATTGTGTTGGGACCTAGAAGTTCCTAGAGACACATATCTAGATATATCTTGGGGGGGCAACTTCATTGGTTTTCTTGATACCAGAAGGTGCATCCTAAATGTAGGCAGCACCATTAAGACTAAAACAACAGGAATGCTAACATTCATCACTTTCTTCTTTCTCCTGATGCAATGTGACCTCAAGTTCTTGAATCCCTGTATTCTACTCTGACAGCTTGCTGCTTCAAGTTGTGAGCCAACATAAATCCACCCTTTCTTGAGTTGCTTTTGTCACAACAAGGATGAAAGGAAATAATATGGTCCTCAAATCACCTTGTTCCCACAAAATAAACATCTGTGACTACCCATACTAAGTAGCTAGATTTCAAATCCACTATGTCAACACAAGTATAATTCTTGAGGAAGACTGACATACTGTCCAAAAATTGTCCAGTACATTCCATTTGGTCAAGCTACAGTTTCAAATTTCATGATAAACTTCAGTATTGCAACACTGATTTATCTATGTCAGAATCATAGACTTTTTTTAAATGACATCCTTGGTTCTATTGATTATAACCATGGCAACAATCTAGCTTCCATGCTTCCCCAATCAAGACTCGATTTGGACAACCATCCTGATACGTCAGTCAGGACCACATAATGGTAAAAAGCACAGATAGGAGATGTAATCAGTACATTGTAAAGATGAAGAGTAAATAGTTTCAGTGATGCCAAGCAAATAGATGGAGGGTCTACTGACTGAAAGTTTGACTCATGAACACTGACATGTACTCTGAATTAGAGCAGAGGAGTAATAGACTCAGGGGGGCATAAAGTCTGTGTATTAAGTATCCCTGATCACGTTGTGGGTCTAGTTGATCATTGTCTCAGTTCTGGTTCTTCAAGTTAGGCCCCAAGAAATCATTATTGATTCGGTTAAAATTATCCTATTTTTTTTTGAGACAGGCTTTCTCTGTGTAACAGTTCTGGCTGTCCTGTAACTCACTTTGTAGACCAGGCTCTAACTCACAGAGATGTGCCTGCCTCTGCCTCATGAAAGCTGTAATTAAAGATATGTGCCACCACTGCTCAGCAACATTATCCCTTCTTAAGGGGACCAAAATGTTTCTTCTCAGATTTCTTCTGCTTCAGGTACAACCTCAGCATGAAGAATCATTGTACTGGGTTGGGTATAGTTGGAATTGTAGGTCATCCATTTTTGGGAGGTAGTTTATCTCTCTTCTCATAAAAATACCTATCTACTGGTCTTATTAGTCCTGGTGTCCAAAGTTCTTCAAGAAGAGTGGTTTTAAGAAGGGAAACATCTTATCCAATGGTCAAGAGTTCAAGATGTAGTTACTTAGACCTCTTTAAAGGACAGTTTTATGTCAGCTTGACACAACCAGGAATTCTCTGAGAGGGAGAACCTCAATTAAGAAAATGCCTCCATAAGATCAGGTTGTGGGCAGGCCTATATGACATTTAAAAAAAAATAGTGACTGATGGAGGAGGGCCCAGCCTATTGTGCTATCTGTGGACTGGTGGTCCTGGGTTTTATAAGAAATTAGGTTGAGCAAGCAATGGGGAACAAGCTAGTAAGCAGCACCCCTCCATGGCCTTTGCATCAGCTCCTGCCTGTAGGTTCCTGCCCTGTTTGAGTTCCTGTCCTGATTCCTTTGATGATGAACAGCAATATAGAAGTGTAAGCAGAATAAACCTTTTCCTCTCAACTTGCTTTTTTTGTCATGGTGTTTCATGTTTTTTTTTTTTTTTCTGTCATGCAACAAGGGAAACCCCAACTAAGACAGCCATCTTCCTAAACTGTAGCTTTTGCAAACCTACAGAGTCTGAAATGTGTAACCTTGAAAAGATTCCCTTCATAGAGATGACCACTTGGAATAAGAAAGGCCTTAGTCTAAGTGAAATCTTACCACAAGCAGTACAAGGAGACCCAGTATTTGGAAGTACAGACAATCAGAGTTGAGATACTGCTTAGAATCTAGTGATTATTTCTGTACCATGTACTTGTGTATCTCTTTTGTGTGTATATAATTTACACTACTTATTTATAATGACTTAAGATTTTTCTACATACGCCTATTTAAAAAATGCTTTTAAACTGGGGATTTACACAAATCCCATTCAGGCCACAATATGAATAATAAATGTGTGTTTATTTGAACTTCTTGATGGTGAGAGTCCTGCAGACAATAGACTTATTTATTTCTGAAGAGGGTTTATGTTAGACAAAATATCCCTCAGGCATTAAGAAGAAAAAGCCTGCAAAAAGCACTTTAGTAAATTATAACTTTTGGGATAAAATATGACAATAATGATTGCTAAAGTAGAAACCAAAGTATAAAACTGCATATACTGTACATAATGCATTTTCAACTTTTCTATTATTTAGTTTGTGTCACTGGAAAAGCTACTTGTGGAAAATTAATTTGGATCTTAGAAGACATGAACTCCTTTGTTCATGCATAATTTGATATATTGTTTTGAACATGAGCTATGTATGCTGAGAACATTTACCAATAGTGATGTGTGATTACATCTTGCTATGTGACTATTCTTACTACTTTCAGCATTCTGTGGGTAAGCAGCTACACATCTCAAATAGTGAGTCAAAGTTTGCCAAATTTATATGCTAACATGTGGAAGGGGGGATTATTAGCACTGGTTATCATGAAACAGACTAGGCATGCACCACAGGCATGGCACCACAGGAGTGTAACTCACCTGGGCAGCACACTAGAGCTGACCCTGTTGTTGGGCCACAGGTTAGTTAAGCCTGAGAGTGTTAGAGTAGGAGAGCTGATCCCACCCCCCTCCCTCCATTTACCAGCTACAGTAATCAGGAGAGAAGGCCCTTCACTTCACCTGGGCAAAATAGTAGAGCTGTTGCTGGTGGTGTGAGTTCAGCCAAGCAGGATCTGACAACCTGCAGCAGGAGACTGGCCCCTCCACTTGCTGTAGGCTGCATTGGTAAGCTAGCTGAGGCAGTACTGGAGGGCTAGCCTGGGTAGTGATGAGGGAAAGTTTGCACCAGGGACAGATGGGGATGGGAGGTGGGGGGGATGTAGGTTTTTTGTTTTTTCTTTTAAGTTTTGTTTTGTTTTAGTGGGGAGGTCCATAGGCAGAGGGAAGATGCCAGGGGAGAGGGAGATCAGTGCAATCAGGATGAATGATCTGAAATCCACAAAAAATCAATAAAAGATAGATAAAATAAAAAAATCAAAAATTTTAAAATCATGAAAAGAAACCCATAATTAAGTGATTTGCTCCATCCCAGAAGAAACATAAAGCTTTAACTTCTCTGGTATTAACAATATGGCATTTATTTGAAACTTTTCTGCATTTCATAGTGTTTGCATGGAAATCTAAAGCTGGCTTGCCTGTTTATCATTTATCTTTTTATTTGTGTAACATGGGAGAAGAGCTCACTCTTTCTGCCCATTTGGGTCTTGGACACTGGCTTCTCTTGCTTTAGCTCCAGTGTAGCAGGCTTACAGTCATGTGTCACCTCAGCAACTTAGATTATCTTATTTTCTATAAGCTATACAAACACTCACAAGATTAAGGACTCTCCATTTGCTGGAGTTGCTCAGACTACTCTGTGTCCATATAGCAATATACCAGCTTCAGGTCACACAGTGTGCTCCTGTAAGTTACATTTGTACTTCTATTGAAGGGATCTTTAGTAAATTAAGACATAATGCCTGATTTTAAAAGCCAACTTGCTACACTGAAGAATCACCTGGGAAGGTAGTCTTGCCTGAGGAATTATCTTACATAGGCCTGTGGGCGTATCCACAAGGGACTGTCTTGGTTGTCAGTTGACTCAGCCCACTGTAGGTGGCACCTAGTCTAGGTCCTGAACTGTATGAGTGAATAAAGGTAGCTAAGCCAGCAAACAGGCTGCATGGATGCAGTTTTCTTAGTTCTGCTCTTGGTGTGTGTGTGTGTGTGTGTGTGTGTGTGTGTGTGTGTATGTGTAGAACAAAACAGAAGGGCTAGATTTTCAGGTGAATGGAATCTGAACAATATGTGTTCTGAGGACCCAAGTTCTGTCCTCTATCAGAGCAGCAAATATCATTAAGTACCATATACTATATAGCAAGTACTAAAAGAACCTTGCCCTTCAAGAACATAGTAATGTGTGTGCAAGGATTAACAGCAATTAGGGATCTGAACATCAAAAGGTTAACATTTCACCCAGCCTATTGAAATTTGTTGTGGATGATTTAAACTCTGAAGAATTATTTGAAAATTGTCAACTGGCTTGCAACAAATTATCATTTCTCCAACAGTTTCCTCCTACTTTTGGAAAATTTACTTAGATTGTGGCCCTGTCATAATCTCAGGAAATGTTAAATCAATGCAAAATGAGTGGATCCGTATTTCTAAAAATAACCTTTTTACAGGAAGAAGAGCTGAGGAAGAGCGGGGAGGCCAAGTATGCACACCTGAGTGATGAGCTGCATGTATTAATTGAAGTGTTTGCTCCACCTGGCGAGGCTTATTCACGGATGAGTCATGCCTTGGAAGAGATTAAAAAATTCCTGGTTCCTGTAAGTGATTTTTGAATTTACAAACTGTTTCTTATCCATTCCTAGTTTTAAGTTGTGTCTTTGATCTCTAGTAACTTTTTGGAAGGGAGTTCACACTGCACATTAATTTTCTATGCATAGATTTGATACAAATCTTAAATAAATTGGGCACACAGGACACTTATTACAAGACCTGGCATGTTGGCACTTTCTTCTCATCTGACATGAGTATTCATCACCAACCTGTGTATTATATACATCAATCCACAGCCAGAAACACTAATAAGAGAAACGTATGCTCAAAAGTACATGATTTTATGTCACCTTTCCCTTTTATAAGCCATTGACTTGTATTTTGATAATTTATAATTCGTAGGAAAATGTAGAATAAAAAGATGGATGAGATTGAATATGTATTATTTATAGTAAGATAATGATAGTATTTTAAAGTAACAAATGCCTTTTGTGTGGTAGCCTGTCAGGTAGTACAAGGTATATTAACAGAGGCATATAAATGTTAACTTAGACAGTTAGAAATTTAAACTCACCATGCAATGTGAGAATAATAGAGGATGGAAAATTCAGATGCAAACTGAGTTGCATTCTCTACTGATTTCCCAAGAGACAGGGGAACATAAATGCATAGATTCTTAAGGTTAACAATTGAACATTCTAGAAACAAGGGCTTCAGTATAAGTCTTACCCAGGGGCTTGAGATATTATGAGATATTGAGAGAATGCTGAGTAAAGTTCCCTGGAAGAGCTTAGAAAGATCCTCAGTCCAGAACATAGATAGCTGAGGTTAATTTACAAATGAAGAAACTGGAAATTTGTGTACTCAGTAAAAGCCTCAGAGAAGGTGGCCGGCAGATAAGATCCATGGACTAGTAGTGGTATAGAAAACTGGAAAGGACAAATAGCATAGATTCCCTTAAGTGTACAAGCATTAAGTTCTAGCCACGTTTTCTAGTTACATGTCCAATCCCAATATTAATCTTTGTCAAGGCACAATTATTGAATAACGTCACACTAAGTTGAGTATCTGTTAATTGCATGTGCATAGCTACTATTTGAGTCTCATCTGGAAACCTTCCTAAATAGATCTCATTCTGAAGACTGATGATGCTCATTCTTTCTTCCTTTGGTTTTCCAATGAAATATTTAGTGCTAGGCTTAGTAAGGCAATTTAGTCTATTTAGTTAGAAACAGACCAGATAAACATATGTATACTGAGGCCAGGTCTCTTTATATAAACATCTCATTGTATATGGCTTTAGATAAGTTACTTAAATGTTCAGAGGATCAGTTTATGGTTCTTTAAAATGAAAATGGCCCTAATGTACTCACTTTAATCACAACAATTGTGAATGTTAAACAGGATAATATATGCAAAGGGTTTAAACATAAAAAAGCATCGGTGAAATTGATTTTTAAAATCTATTATAATAGAAAGAGACTGCTGAATGACTTTATCAGGTAAAATGTGTTAGGCACAGTTAATAAGTCTTTTTTGTTTAGGAGTATTATCTCTATATATCTATCTATCTAGATATAGAGGAATGATAATTTAATTACAAATTTCTCCCTTTCCTTTTCTTCCTCCAACCCCCCCATGCATCTCTCCCTGCTCTCCTTCAAGTTAATGCCCTCTTTTGTTCACTAATTATTATTTAATGCATATACATCCCTACATACATAGCTTGCAGGCTAAGTTATCCTACTTTTATAGTAGATATCAATGACATGCATCACTTTCTCATATATTATACCTTGTAATAACTCCATTTCTATCTTATCAGCTGAAACATATACTGGACATGGTTGGGAATTTATTTCCAGGCCAACAGTGTATCCTTATCATTTATCACCTTGCTTGAAAGTGTTTGTCTGATTGTAGTCTGACTTTTGAAATGACTAACCAAATTCAGCATAAATACATGTAAGACAAATACAATCTGGCCACATTTGTGATCCATGTGCATCATATAAATGTGGACTCCCCCTTGCCCCTGCCATTTCTGTGATTTCTGATACCTGCATGTGCAGGAACTTCTTCAAATACAAGTCTAAAGTAACTTCCTTGGTTGCTTTCTATTATGCAATGCTGCTGTGACAGGTTCTTGGCATCACCGATAACTCTATTCAACATATTGAGTTATTGTTCTCAACCTCTTTCCCAGTTTATTTCTCTTGAAGGTATTTATTATGTTTTGGTCATAGATAGATAGATAGATAGATAGATAGATAGATAGATAGATAGAAAGCTCTTTATTGTTTGCTTACCTGTTAGAACATGAATGTCCTGAGGGTTGTGACTGTATCTCTCTCCCAATGCTGTTTATAGGCTATACTATTTGTGACACTCCTTCAGACTGATTTTTGTTTTCTTTCTTGCCTTGCTTAGCTCCAGGCAAAGGACAATATCTGTCTACTTTAACTATCACAGGAACCACAAAGAACTAAAACAAATGGACACACACACACACAAGCACAGAACCTCTCATTTGTCCATATTATTCCTGATATTTGATTTTCCAGTTCAGATGATGATAACATAGCTGGACATTAATATTTATAACCATCAGAGGTGAAGTTTCAGATTGGTAAAATGTATTCTGGAACAATACATAAGACTAATGTATACTAGGACTCCAACCCTCAACTGATGTCTTAATTCTCTGTAAGATTGTGTCTTTCCATCATAGGAACTTTTCATCTTCCCCTTGTTATGTTAGGTATAATAAGTAAGCCTGCCCTATACCCTACCGTCATCAAAACTGCCATTATGAGATGAGTAACCACTTCTTATGAAATGTCTGAAAGCTTTAGGGTATTAGAAATCAACTCGGTTCCCGTAGTTAAATTAGTTGATAAAGAAGTCATTACTATTGTTCTAGGTGGGATTTCTAACCTATTAGTCTCTGTTCAGACACTACAGTTTTACCAAAATAAATAGACTGACTAATCGATGAACAACATGTGATGATTTCCAATTTCAAATCTGTAATGTTTTAATAAGTAAAATTGCATTAAAATCAACATTGCCAACTTCAAATTCCTAACATTTTAAGAATGAGCTCTATCCCAAAATTTTTATTGTTCATTGATTTGCCTTACAATGCAGATTAGTACTCTGTAGTAAATGTCTTAATTCTAAAATAATGCAATCAGTGCTTCAGTGAGGTGTGTAAGTCCATTTTACTCCATAAGCTGGAAGAACAGAATGTAAATGGCCACTGTTGTATTTCACAGTTTTCCTTCCTTGCATAATTTAGAAATCAGTACACCAGCAGATTTTGTAGGGGTAATAGTTGGTGACACTTCATGGAGCAATATTATGCTAAAGTTTGTGTCAGGAATGCCTCAGAATGCCAAATTAAGTTATATTTTCTAACTCTAATCAGAATGTTGTATCAAAATAATGATAATGTTTATGTTATTAAATTGACTAAGTCTCAGTTTTCATTAAATGAATTCTGTACATTTACTAATGTTTAATCATCAACTTATGATTGAGACATAAGGCACCATCTCCTAACTAGAAAGTGTGAAGGATTCTACAAAATTCAGTTCATGAGGGTGGTGGTGTGTCTCAGCAGTTAGGCCCTTATCCCAGAAGCTTGAATTCCATCCCTGGAAACAACATAGAGTGGAAGAAAAGGACCAACTCCACAAAAGTGGCCCTTGGACCTCCAAATGTATGTTATGGCATGTACACATACATACAAATAGTAAGTAAAAGTAATAACATTAATAATTATTGAATATCAGTTAGTGGGTGTTCACTTATTTTCCATAGAAAAGATGAAAGTTGAGCTTCCACAAATAAGAAATTAGCCTTTAATAACAGAAAAATAGACAATTTTATTGCTTTCTTCAATAAATGATGTTAAGGCCTTAAGTGAGAAGTCATAATACAATGCATTGTGTCAGAATCTCTAAACTTGACAAGTCTGTCTTGCTTGACCTGAGTGTTGTGTAAATTAAATTGGTCAATAGATAAGAAGGCAGATTCATTCATATGTACACATATTTAATTTATGTTTCATATATTTGTGTGTGTGTGTCTTTTACTAGTTACACACATAAGATGTGTAAATTAATTCAATAAGGGAAAACAAAAACATGGACCTGTAGCCTTCCACTGGATTGTGGTTGAGTTATCAGGACCAAAACTCTTGAAGAACATTAACATTGACTGTTTCTCTCTTAGCTGCTATCAGTGGCCAATAACTCCACAGCTATGCCCACCTGCATTGTCATCCTAGGATTATGTTTGGTTTAAGCTTGCATGGGTATTATGCATACAGTCATAACCACTGTGTGGTGTTTTGAAAGAAAATGGCCCCCAAAAGGAGCAGCACTATTAGGAGGTGTGGCTTTGTTGGAAAAGGTATGGCCTTCTTGGAGTGGGTGTGGCCTTGTAGGAGGAAGTATATCACTGTAGAGGCAAGCTTTGAGTTTTCATATATGCTCAAGCCACACCTAGTGTCTCAGATCACTTACTGTTACCTGCAAAATGTAGGACTATTGGCTACTTCTCCATCACAATGTCTACCCACATGCCAATCACTATGTCCCACTGTGATGGTAATGGACTCAACCTCTGAACTGTAAGGAAACTTCCTCCCCATTTAAAGGTTTTCCTTTATAAGAGTTGCCATGGTCATGGTGTCTCTTCACATCAATAGAAACCCTAACTAAGACACTGTGAGTTCATATGTGCAGTTACCCAGCTGTGTCTGGAAGACCATGCTTGTAGTCATCTGCCACCACTGGCTCTTGCACTCTTTCTGTCTTCTCTTATATGATGATCTTTTAGCCTTGGAATAAAGGGTGTAGTGGTGTCTCATTTAGGACTGAGCATTTCACAGTCTCTTATTCTCCATACCTCGGGTGGTTGTGGGCATTAATCACCACCTACTGCATATGGAAGCTTCTCTGATGAGGATTGAGAAATGCACTATTTATGGGTATAAGGATAATTCATGAGGAGTCGGTTTAATACTGTGTACATTTAG